AAGGGGGAGGAAAAGGAGAGGGAGAAGACAGATTTGTTCCTATGCTTTAAATTACTTAAATGTCAAAAAAACTGATGTGTTATGGCCAGGGAGCAATATAGTTTGGTCTCAGCAGTGACAGCAGTAACAAAGCTGTACATCATAACATTCTTCACATAACTCAGTCTTCCAAAGATAATTTTGTGCATGTGTAAGAGATACTATAGCTTCTGTAGTACAAGGTACATGAATCAGCCTAATTAAGTTTCGATTACAAAATAACTTGCGTTTCAACTTGCGTTTCTACACGCAGAACAAATTATGCCAGTGTGAACTGGGCAGCAGCAGAATGCTTTGTGGCTGGTTTATAAACACAGGATCAAGGATTTGCTGCTCTCTCATCCCTTCTGAAAAATCCAGACCTCCATAAAAAACTGGGTTTTGCCCTATTAGCATAATTGCCATGGTTTCAGTACACAGGTGGTTTAAATTCCATTTATACAGCTAATTTGATTGGAATGAATAGTCTGAACAAGATCTTGCTATCTGATTTTGAAGGTCCCAGTAGTTGGTGAACATTTACTCATCACTTAATTCACTTTTAGTGTTAGAATTAATCACTTTAACTACAGGACCTTGAGAATATAACTCAATTTTCATAGGTCAGGTCTTCAGTATGATTTTAGGCAAACTATTGGCATCAGTTTTAGAGGTACCAATGCAAAATATGTTTTCATTTTGTGGGTCCAAAGTATGATTATTTGTTACTATGTAGCTATGCCAAAATGCATTAAATAAATGTTAGTGCTCAGTAAATAGTGCATCAAGTGAAAATGGAAACCCTGTTGGCTCTCATGCCTCTTTGTTGCTGTTGGTTGGTGTTTCTATCAGTGGAACAGGAGTAACACAACATTTCTGGGAAAGTTTGTGTACAGTGGTTGCAGCTAGAGGCTATTTAACTGCTATTCCATAGCAGTTTTGCTATTCCATTTTGTCCTTTCCCTCAATTTTTATCCCTTCCCTTAATTTTTATCCCATCTGTGACAGCTCAAATAATGATCAGTGGGAAACAAAATGATGGCTTTTGCTAGGCCCACTCTACTTACCAACTGAGTTCAAAACTATGCTATAAGACTTGTGTTCCTACAAGTGTGTTTCTAACAGTCCAGTTACTCTCCTGCTCTGTTCCTTGCCCGCCCTTCCCATCCTGTCCTAAGGATCTGGAGCAAGGGTTGGGCAAGCTGTATATTGGTGACAAGATACTGTTCTTGAAGGCACAGATGGTTCTTGTCTCTTGCACCTTGAAAGTACTTGTAGGTGGGGGATGGCCTCTGCTCTCAGGTGCAAAGTGTGTGGGATCAGTCAGATGATCACTACTGAAAGTGCAAGAGAATAACAAAAGGAAGAGAGCCCACAGGTCAAAGCAGTATTGAATGCAAACACTGCTGTCTTAATTATTACCTCCAAAGTGGAAAGAGCTTAAAATATATTGTGACTTAAAACAGTGATGCAGGGATGTGCAGAGGAACCTTGCAGATTCAGCCTTCAGATCGCAGATCTCTTCTGTGGTCAAAGCTGAAAAGAGGTTTGTAGCTCCATGTATGTGGTGCTCCATTCTTCTACAAGCAATGAGACAATACACTTGTGCTGTTCTGTATCAAGTGTGCATGGTCAGCTCTGGTGGAGTTGTGGAACATGGTTCAAAATCAGCTTTGATAACTTCTTTAATAATTTCTATATTTATAGAAATAATAATATAAATGTTTCCTATGGAGAAGGAAGCCTTAAGTGTGCCAACCTAACCAAGCAGATACTTTTGTTTCAAAGTGGGACAACATATGCTGTGGTTTATGTACTTAAAATAAGACTGGAGGAGACCCCCTAGATCATCACATCCCACTCGGTCCTATCACTGGCACTACACAGCAGCTTTGTCAAGCCTTATATTTAGATTCTTTTCCTCCTTTGCTACTGGAAGCCAGTTCCAGGTCCTCACCCTGCTGATAGCTAGAAATCCAAATAGCTTACTCCTAGCCACTTCATACCCACTTGTTTTTGTGTCAGTGCTGCCTGCTGGCTAAAATCCAGTGAGCATTATGCTGTCAGGAGGTCTGCACAGAGAGAAACCTTGGATCAATAGGTCAGTGTGCTCCAGGAGCCTTCTGTGATAGGCAGGGATGGTAGGAATTGCAGAGCTTTGGTATACTTGTAACAGTAACTGGTTTTCAGAGGGAGGTCCTAATGCTGCACATCCTTCGACTCAAAGTTTTGCTGATTTTAGTTGGGATTCTGTTTCTAGATGGTCTGCAATAGTTAGATCTCTATCAACGATTATTTGGCTGCTAAGGGGAGCATTTTGGTTTGGTGTGTGTACAACATCTATATTGCAAAGGGAAAAAAGCTGAGAGAGGGGGCATCTCTAAATTCTCATTTTAGTTGCTTAACAGAATGATCTTTAACAGCATGGGCATTGACATTGCAAGAAGTAACTAACTTATTTTTCCAAATTGCTGCTCCTTATAAAAGCAGGTCACTTGTTACTTGACTGTCTTAAATGATAAAAGTTGTTAGTTGTTGGCAGGAAATGTTGCTTGTCCGTCTGTCTTGATTGATGGGTCAACTGCAAATACTATTTTTGTCCAGTTAGAACCAGAGGGAAAAGGATGGATTGATCTTGTTCAAGGTGCTTCAGTTTTTAAAAGGTGCTCAAGCCTTCCACATGTAACAATATTTTTTTTCAGGCAGATACAAAAATGAGATCAGTATCAGCATTCTGGAACTTCATACTTTATTCCTTTACTTTCTAAATTTCAGTTGTCAAGACAGTTAGGTAGGCCTCATTACTGAGTAATAAATTTCTAAAATGCAAGAGTGCCATAGGAAATAATGAAAAAGAAAACAAACTGTTCAGTGGATTTGTAATGCTGGAACATTTTGTGGGGAATGCCGACAGAAATGCTATAATGTAGTGTGTTCTTCCATCAGTAATCACATCTCTCATCAAATGGAATCTAGAAACCTGTAACTTCAAGAAAACCATTGAAAACTGTCATGTCAGAGAGGATCTAATAATTGCTTTTATTAAAGTTTCACAGCTGTGCTGTGGAGAGCATTACATACACAAGCATGCAGAAAAGTCATGTCCCTAGGAGCTCACACCTGACATGCTAACTAAAGCCCATTGACCAACAAGGTCAAGAATTACTTATGTAAAATAATGAAATGCAGAGTGCTGTCATGCATGTGCATGAGAAAAGCTTGATAATGACTTCTGGGTTTTTAGTAGAGGTGGAAGAACCTTGTCATCTGTTTGTAGTCTTGAGTCTAATTGGTTGGAGACAAAAGGAAAAGCAATGTGGATTAATTTGTAGATTTAATAAGGCAACTGTGGAGAGTAACTTGTGTAATTCCTGAATTTGGAAGCATATGTGAACACTTTTCTTCTTCTGTTGGAGATGGGCAAAAGGCATCTTTCACCAAGAAAATCTTACGGTTCCTCTCGTGGGACCTAAAAGCACTTATACTTGAGGTTGTACTGGTTGTGATCTTTCCAGAGTTCTATAGAAGAAATTACTCAGTTTGCCATGATGAGCGTATTTCTGAACTCCTGTGTTTCTGCTGGAGTTCCTCAAATGCTCTTCCGTCTTTTCCAACGAAAATGTTGTTGCAGGGTACAATGCAAACAAAATTCTCCAGTGAAGGATAATGGTCTAATTATATCACTACACAAACTGATGTAGATAAGCATGTGAAGGCAGAGAAGGATGAGAAGTTGGTGGCAAAAGGAAATGCAAAGATGAACAAAGTTTGGAGAATCCCTGCCTAACTTAAGAAAGTGAATCCTTAAACCAAACTACATGGTGGCACTGCCTGGTTAAAACAAAGCAAACAGGTCCTTTGGGAAACGAGATCAACCTTAAGGAAATATTTGGACTAATTCAAACCATTGGACTTACTTGATGAGTGTAGTCAAGGGGTAAACGATGAGACTTATTGTTGTTTGCAGGCAGCATGGAAGTAATGCTAAAACCGCTGAAAGGGAAGAAGTTTGCCATTTCCTTATGTGTAATTAGTTACATCAGTGCCTTTCCATTTGTGTTCACTAATTTTTTCCTTAATAAACCAGTCCTGCCCCGTACAGTCTGAGTGCTTGCACACAGAGATGCTACGCTGAAGGATGAGGATCCAAACATTGGAGTAATTTATCAAGGCAACCTGGAATACAATACTTAATGTCAGCTAGCAGTAGTGCTGAGTCTCCTGATGAGAGTTTGCTCAGAGCATCACAAGTATTGGCTGCTTTGTGAACTACTTACTGAACTAGTTGCTGGATTTTTGTTTAGCAGGAAACCTATTGTTTAATTTGTAGAAGTGAGTCATAGAAACTATTTCCTGTCTGAATGAAAACAGTGTCCCCGGTTATCCCAAATACTGCACAATTTTTCTATTAAAAAGTTTTTTATGAGACTCAAATTCTGAGATTTGCGGGGTTTTTTTCTTTGAAATGTATTTACAATTGTTAGCTCTGAGACTCAATAGGCATTTCTGTGCAAATAAAAAGTCCTCAAAAGCTCTGTTAGCCATAGCCAAATGGGACTCTGAATTGCATTTCCATCCTACAAAAGACAGTTGGAAAGATAACTGTGTGGGAAGTGATACACTGCAGGGAACAGTCATGCCCTGGCAGTGAGGATGGACCAGATGACCTAATTTCTCTTTTCCATTAGAGCTGTCCCTGATTCCCCAGCTAGTCATGCAAACACATGACTGACAATAAGGATAAAAAAATATGGAAAACTTATCTCCCAGCATAACAAATAAATCCTGATATTTTTTATTCCATCACCTTGTAGGTGCTGATTAACTGAATGCCATATAGTCTCATTTCATTATGTTAGTCTTTTAAATGGAACCTTTAAAACTGACTTGCCATCTGCTCTGCCTGGAACTCAGAACTGCTTTCTCAGCTGCATGAGACATCTGCTTGATGCAGCCAATGGGTGAACATAGCAAGATTTGTGAGGAACAGCTCAAAGCAGCAGTTGCAGGGGTAATAGACTCTATGCTCTGTCTCAATAATATCCTATGCAGCTCATCTACAAGATTTTGGGAGCACAGCACTGTGCTGACTACTTCTACATTATCATATTTTGTACACAAGTGATATGGGCTTCCTGTGCCAACTCATACCCAGGTGTGACATCACTGTCTGCATAGTTGGTTAGACTGCTGTTAAGATGGCTTTTTGCAGCTGTCTGTATATCAGTCATGACCTGGCTGTCATGATCCAAAGGACTGGGGTTTTTTGCAAGTAAGATCTTTTCTGACTATTTGCCAAATTTTTTCTTTGCCATCACTTTGTGCTTCTTGCAGACTGCCTCTCTCCCTCAGCCAGGTAGCCTGTGGTCTTCCCGTGTCAGATCTTCTCTGGGTTATTCAGAATTTTGGAATCAGCATTTAGGTTATTATCACTGGATAATTCTTGAAATACATGTTGTTAACATAACCTCATGCTGAAGAGTTTGCACATGAAGTTTTGTTCCTGCTACACGCATGCCATCTGGATCATTCTCCATTAAAGTGATTCACATCACACCTACAAACAAAATCCAGTAGCGAATGCCAAAAAATCCTGAACACAGCATTAGGATGAGAATGGATTACAGGAATTCAATCAGAAAGATCCAGGTGAAGAGAGTTGAAGGTGTATAAGATGAAAAACTTTAAAAAGCAGGATACATTGACCAATTGTTGTTTTGATGGAAACTATACAAAGATACCTTATTGTCTGAAAGTTGATGTTTACGCTTGAGATTCCTCACAACTCTGATCTGCAAATGCTAGGTGGATGCTCACCTAGCCAGTTGAGGCCCAGGAGGAATTTGCCTTTCAGATCCATTTTGGAAGAACTGTTGTTAAGTTTATGTAAGTTTTATTTCCTTCTCTGTAAGGGAGAGTGGAATGTTTCTTGCTGGAACTTTATGTCATGTACTGTCCACTACTGCAAAAACCTAGCATCTCTGCAGTGCCCAATCTCTCCTGACCTCTTTCTTGTGGCTATTTTATTTATTATTTTTTTTAACAGCTGTAGCTTTCCATCTTTTTGTGTAGGCATTTTGTGTTACAGGATGCTGAAAACCCAGTTTGTAGTCCAGATTTATGGACTAAATGTTTTGTGGAGCCTTTTGAAGTAGATGCCTATTAGGTGCTTACTTGGATGTTAACAGTTGGACTAGTCCTGTGTTGCTTTAGCACTGGTAATCAGCTCTCGTCTCCTTGTGTGGGCCAAAGGAAAAGCTCTTCACCCTTCCACCTGTGGAGCTCGAGACAAGGACAAGATATAGGGATGTCAACTGTTTTCCATGCTCTGCATTCCTCTTCCTAAAGTATTTTCCTGTGCAGAGCAATCCCAATTTCCAAGACAGACAATGAGAAAAAGAGCCCCAAACCTTCAAGATCTCATAATAAATATAAATGTGGATTATAAAATGTTTATTGTTAATAAGAAAAATACTATGATAATGAAGAAAGTTTAACATTTAGAAATGAGGAATGTGTGACTACTGAAAGCCCTTTGTGGAAGAAATGACCAAAAATTCAAACTCATACATTTAACAGCGTATTTCCTGTCTGTTGCTGCTTGTTTTTTCCCTTGACTTGTGAAGTTTTTCCATGTTTTCCTTTCCCAAATGGAATAGAAAGATTGTTGCTGTTCAGGGAAACTGCCTCAGAGAACTACTTCATTGAGACAAAAGTAACTAGTAGATGTAGTTCGATGTATTTTTTTTTTTGTTTTCTTCCTTGTGACTTAGCTTTCATATTCATGTGCATCCACCCACTCCCAAAACACTTACTTTTAGTAATTTGTTTACTTGTTTTCTCTTTTCAAAGATATTTGGCTTAAAAACACTACACGTTGCTTTTGAACAACATTGTGGGATGAAATGTATTAGTCTGAGCCTTATAAATTGCAGCATCCCAAAGGCTATGCTGATTAGTATTTGCTGCCAGTGCTGTCTGAGGACTGTCTCATTACGTGGAAATTGCTGCGGTACAAATCTCCAGTGGCAGTGTGGGCTGTGTATGCTGATAACCAGCTCCTGCACCAGATATATGCTCTGGGGGATCCCTCTGAGGCCATAGTTGTGTGGTCAATTTAATCCAACATAAATCCATACTGCCTTCAAAACCTGCTGCTGTCTCATTTATGCTTGTCTCTAACAGCTGGCATCAGGCATCCTGAATGCAAAACCAAATATGAAAATGGGCACCTTTCACTTACGACTTCCCCAACCATGGGCTGACTCACACACAGCCTGGTTCTGCAACAAGAGAACTGCATGGGAGAAGAGACCAGGAGGACTACCCCTCCACTAACATTTATTTATGCAAATTACGTTGGACTGATGTGGCTATGTAACAAAAACCTGAGTACAAGGACTTTCTGAGTGCCTCTATTTGTCAGACTCAAGGCAGGTTTATTTGTCTGGTTTGCACTGGATTCCTGGTCTGGTCTTGCAATGTTTATTGTTGCCTTAAAGTGAAGCGATACTGGATTCACACTCATTAGGGCTGCATGATAACAAGTCTCTTTAGGAATAATACTTTCCAGTACTGAAAGCTCCCATGACTCAAAAGTAAATTGCACAAACAAAAGAGTTGTATCTAAAATACAAAATTATGACCTTCACCGAAGAAAGCACACTGGTATCCTCAGCAGAACCATCAATCCAAATGACACCATGGAAGAACACAGACACAGTAAGCAAACATGTCTTACTGCAATTTTCATGTATTCTGTATGATCCAATTTCTTCCTACCTTCGCAGTTGGGTTTAGGGGTAAAGACAAACCTTGTTTTCAGTCTTACCGTGCTTTATTGTGTGGGAGGCTGTTTCTGTAGCATTCCAGAATGAAATGTCCTAGTACTGACGCCTGTAATCAAGGAAACGGGAGAATATGGGATTAATACAATCTGATCATATAATTAACCACAGAAAATTAGTTTACTAGTTTAACTGATTAAAATGAAACAATCTAGGGCAAGACTCCTATTAATTTCAATCGGGAAGTCAAGAATATTTGGAATACCCACTTTAAGATTATAACTAAAATATGCACTACACTCATGGGAAGTAAAAGGGTAGGAAAATAATAAGTAGTATGCCAACTAGTTTCAGTTGTGCTGGTGTGTGTATAGTGAAATACTTATTTATAAATACAATATTGCATATACATTTCATATGTATTTGTATATACATATCTATTTATTTATGAGACCATGTCTGCTTGCAGAAGACTGACTCATTTCATTTTGGAAATTTGTTATAATCAGATGGTAACAACTTTTGGTTACTAAGGACCTAGGCTGAACCCATGCCAGAAACTACACATTATCAGCTGTAAGTATGTAAGTTTTGCATAGCTCACATTTCTGGACTTAAACAGGGACAGAAAAATATTGTGAAAGCTAAAATTTTGCACCAAATACATTACTTTGAGTATGGCATCTTAAGTGAAGACTATTTAGAAACTACATTTGACACAGTAATTACTAGTCATGCTGTCTGGAAAAACAGAAATAAAAGAATAAATACTTAAAGAGATATAAAAGTCCTTTTTCTGTAGGTTCTTATAGACTCACATAAGAATAGCCAGTTAGATACCTATTCTTCAAGTAAATTTAGCTTTTAAATGGCAATATAACGTTGTTTAAGTTCTAGGAAATACTAGAGGCTTGTGTAGTAAAAATAACAATGTAAAAATCTAATAAGCGCATACAATATGAAAACCTGTTGAGGTTTACTTAGAATCATACATGCAATATCTTTGCATTAATAGGAGCAAGACAAGTAACATACATATAGAGCTCTTACAAAAACACCTCCTCACACTTAAACTGTTTCTCTATGTTGCACAAATTGCACACACATTTATAAAATACAGCCACTGGCTTTGGTTTTTATACTTTATTGATGATAACTTTTTGTAGCTTACCATCACACCTGCACTGTCTCTATCATTAGACAATATTGTTAGACACTAATAGGGCAAATATTTTAATAAAAGCAGCCTAATTTCACTAATGCTTTAGAGCAATAAAATAATTTAAAATCATTAAATCAAAATTTAGAGCATTAATCATTAAGAAAATCACCTGGTTCAACTCTCCTCTCAGAGCAGGTCCAACTTCAAAGATACAGGTTCCTCAGGGCCTTGTCTTTGAAACACACTTAATGCTAAACAGTCCTAATACTCTACATAGCGTTAATAACATTAACATAATCAGTTGTTCTCAGTAATCCACTAACAGACACTTTAGGCTTATCCTGTGTTAAAACTCAGCCACCATACTTATTTCCTCTTACATAAACAGCAGTTTAGCTGTTTTTCTCTCAAGATCTTATCTGCTTTTACTTTTATACTATCTTTTTTATTTTAGATCCCTTATTGCAAAAAGCCATCAAGTACAAATATGCTTGTACAGTCAGTGGTGGTGGTTTTATTTTTCGTGAACTATCATTGCATTCTAAAGAGCCAGGATTTACACTGCTATTACTCAGATCCTAATAAAAGCAAATAATCTGTATTCTTAAGAGAAAAAGACCTGGATTTGTATCAGCTGACATAAGAGAGAAAACATGTCCAACAGCAACACACTAAAATTCAACTGGTTAAATTTTGTCCTAATCACATGTTTGTAAAGAGTCCTGAAAACTGGTGTTTTCTTTAATCTCAGTATAACTGCATCAGTAAAAAGTAGCAACACATCCTTGCTAACACTGGCTTCAGCAATGCTTCCCATCAAAAGACAGAACTGGCTTTTGGACCAAAAGGATGGTTTAATTTGAAGGGGACAGTCCGCTGATCTTACTAATGACCCCTACAGCAAGGCCTCTGTAAATGCAGCAAGAAGATGCTGGTACATACATCTGATCAGTCTGTAATCCTGCCAAAGATACCCAGCCAGGATGGCCATCGTTATAAGAGTCTAGGGTCCTCGTTATGCAACTACTGCTGCCCAAGCAACTGTATTGAGAATAACTGCCATGTAAAAAGTGGAGGCCCATGGTATTCCATCCCAAGTGTTACTGCCTTTGTCTGATTTTTCTCAGCTGACTTTGAGGAGTCTTCCAGACAACCCAGGAATCAGAATAAGTGTAGACCTTGATTCTGTGGAACTATTTACACCTTACACTCCTTTTCGTTACCTATACATGTGAAGGACACAACTAAGTGTTCTTAAAAACATTCTCCAGCTGGAGAGGCATTTTTTTACAAGGGCATGTAGTAATAGGACAAGGGGAAATGGCTTTAAACTGAAAGAGGGGAGATTTAGAGACAATATTAGATTTAGATTAAATATTTGGTTCTTTACTGTGAGGCTGCTGAGACACTACCACAGGTTGCCCAGAGAAGTTGTGGCTGCCACATCTCTGGCAGTGTTCAAGGACAGGTTGGATGGGGCTTGGAGCCATCTGGTCTACTGGAAGGCGTCCCTGCCCTTGGCAGGGAGGGTGGATCTAGATGATCTTTATGGTCCCTTCCAACCCAAACCATTCTGTGATTCTGTAGGTCAAAAAGCCCAACCAGACAATAAAACAAACTATGAATGTAGCTAAAAGTTCAGTGCAGTTTAATTATAAATACATACAAGGACAACCCATATTCAGGGCCATTTACCTGGTCAAATTGGAACAGGTTTTTGTGAATTTCAAAGGGAAAAGGAAAGGAAAAGAAGATATCAAAGGGGCAAGTACAAGAGCAAAATCTCTTAATAGCAATACAGTGTTGTTTGTTCTCTCAAATGTTTTACTGGTCACCTTGTTGACTTCCTTATCTTTCATGGCCTCTTTCTGTCCTGTTTCAGGGTCTTTTTTTGCCCTAGTCACACAGGGTCAGCTTTTCTCATCATCCCAGAGAAAGCAGGAACAGTTACCCACTGCTGGTTTCTGACAGCGGAGTACCTTTGGTTCAGCCGAAGCCAGGTATACAAGTAACATAAGATGAGATTCAGGCCTTCTGTGTGTGCCTTAGAGATAGGAACTGGTATCCTTTGAACTGCATTCTTGATGATATTTGTCACATATTTCCTCAGCAACTTCAAAAGAGTTTAAGTCCTTTGATTACAATCCTGTTTACCTACTATCTTAACTAACAGGCATTTGCTCAGAACAGACATCCACTCAAAACACTACCTTTATTATCTTTTCCCTTAAGTACAAAAATACTTTCATTTACAAGCAGCCATATTAGCATCCCTGGTTAAACATAAAGGAGTACTCTTTTGAGATCAAAACCATTAAAAGAGTGATAACTGAGTTTCTGTCCTAGATTTGCAGTAAACTCTGTGCCTGTGCTTTCTGCTTTAGGGACCTTAGAAACTTCCTGCCTACCAGGTTTTTACCATTAACAGTATGCAGCCACATGTGAGAAACAGGAGGTGTAAGTATCAAACTCACTTTTCATAGAGAAGAGTATTTCTTGTCTCTACTGGTTAAGGATGGGTCTAGCACTGTGCTGCTTTTCAGGTTATTTACAAGTCCTTTTAAATTGGTGCTTTAGGTCAGCAGCTGTATAATTACTACGAATATTTAGCAGTTGTATTGCCCACTTAATGTATATCAATATCCACAGTTTACCATTGGAAAACTAATTCACACACAGAAAGGTGAACAGACTTAGCCAAAGGTTTCCCCACTTCTGTAAAGGTACCTGAGTTACAGTTGAAGTATCTTGGCCAGTGGTTTCCTTACTGTGCCCCCTGAGTCGCTGGTATGGGCTCTGCAGAACCATATGAAAACATGTTTTCAAGTAGAATTTTAATGACAGGATACCACAAGTTTTGAGAGTTGACCACAATCCAGTGGTCCAAACTGTCTGGAGACTACTGACCTAGCCTGCCACTGGTGATTATAGAATCACTAAAGTGCTCTCAGGTGTCTTATGATGGCACAGCTGTGTTACCAGTGCAATCAGAATTGCAGCTCAATGACTAAGATAGCTCAGTAGCATATTTTCTGACCCAGAACACAGATCCCTCTAGATTTTTTACTATCACTACACATAGTATACTTACAACCAAACCTCTCCAAGTAGGCCAGGAGAAGGATGAGAGCCTGCCCAGGTGTAGCAAGGGAGCATGCCTTCTAGCAGGACTCTCCTGAGGCAGAAGTGTCCCTTGGAACTATGCTTCTCTTGTCTTCCTGTTGTGTGTTGTTTATCAGATATAGCTAGTGAGCAAATCACAGAGGAGTGTAATCAGGTAGGGCTGGGGAATGGCAACTGTATGAGTCACATTTTCAGTATACAGCACTGAAATACCTGCAGTGGAGACAGAAACAAGGCACCATGAAAATGAGAGATCAAAGACATAAAATAATGGTTGAAATCTTAGCTGATGGGCAGGTGGCTCTTAGTCGCATGTAGGTCTTAAGCAGTTCAAGTGTGGCTCCTGCACCAAAGCTCCACCATGAAGATGGCCAGTGTGGGTAGTCTGAACCCAGACGTTGGATGAAGTGAGCCAGCTGGTGCTCCCACACCTGACATCAGTAGGTTGGCTGCAAGTCAAAAACAAGTGCAGGCCCATTTTGCAGTAGTGAGCTACTGTCCCTGATGCAGGCTGCTCATGGAGATTTCACTTTCCCTTTGGAAATAGGTGGCATGTGAAGATTCTGGTCACAGGAACATTTTGGCATAGTGTTCATAGACCCAAGGCATTTAGAAAACTTTTCTTTGCAAATAAATGACTTCCAAACATATCCTCTCGGTCTCACTCACAGTCAGCAAAACTATTTTGTGCGAGGAGTTGGATCCAGATTTCCTGCTCAGTGCAGTCGCTTACATGTATTCAGAGTGCAAATCCTGGCCTGGAGTAGAAATACTTCACAACTTACTTAGTTGACAGGGTCAAAAATAACTAAAGAGAATGAAACCTCTGAACAGGCTGATAGCTTGTTGACACTAAGGCTGCACTAGCATTCCTCCAGTTCTAGGGCAAATGGGTTCATTCAGCCAGTGGTGCAAGTTAGGGTAAATCTGCCCTGACCTTCTGCTGTGAAGCCACCAGGTCACTACAGAAGATCAGAACATCTTCTCTTGTCTCTTTTCCCTCCATCAAGGCTTTAAGATGGTATCCAGAGGAACATTAAGACAGATGTGCAACGTCTCATTGTACAGGGGGAGAATCACTGCAACACCCCATCACAGCAAGTGTTTTTTCAAGAGTACCTGATTCCGTGAGAGGTTTGGGGCTCCTGTTCTCACCATGGAACCCAAGGAAGGTCTTATTTGCTTGGCTGAGGCATTTGTCTCTTTTGAAGCAATTCTCACTGATGCCACATTCACAAGTGCAGTCTACTATAGCTCTAATGAGAAATAATAAACAGCCTAATGCGACATAATACACGGAATACAATTTATGTATTCCATGAATTGCTCTTTATTTGAGATCCTGTCAGAAAACTTAAAAGGCATTAATCCATTCCAGCACAGCCTCTTTCTAGCCCACTCTTTTTCTAGTGGGGTTTGGGGTTGTTTTTTTGAGGTTTTTTTGTAATGCAGATTGTCCAGCATTCAATGTATTAATTTTTCATAGCATGTTTAAGTCTCCATTTACACTTAAATCCCATATTGCCAACATGGCTTGTGAGAGAATAAAACAAACAGGAGTTCCACTTTGCAACTCTCAATCATGAGAATAAACCCCCCTTGTGAAGCCACTGAATACTGATCTCAGAGTTTGCCCAAGACAGTTTTATTTTTCTCTTCTAAAGCTTCTCCTCCAGTTCTAAGCCTACGCAGGGACTGTACTTATGTACATATACACATTTACATACACACAAATATATGGGCAAAGCAGTCAGCATAAGGTAGATTCTCAGCTGATCTTTCCAAATCCAAATGTGTGCAAATTTAATAATTTAAAATTTCTACTATTTGTGATGTTTTTTTCAGTTCAGTAGATGTTCAGTTGTCCAGCTGTCAGGTTTTGCTTGGGCTGCAGGAGTACACAGGCAATCAGTTCCCTCCATGTCTCGTACAGCTGGAGACTAGCCCACATTTCATTACTTTCCAGTAGCTTCTTCCACAGCTTCTACCAGTGTCTGTGACAGCTGTTCTGGGGGTAAGGGAAATCAGCAGGATGTATGTTAAATCACCAGCATGCATTTTAGAATCAGAATATAAACCTAGCAATTCAAAATTAGGTTTAGGGCCTATGTATTTATAAATGTAACTCCTATGCAGACAGTAGATTGAAAATTGCAAATAAGCTATCACAATAATCAAACAGGACAGAATGTGTGTGTCCTCCTGCCATTGCAAGATCTACTACAAGATCTTTCCAGGCTAAATTTTATGAAATGTGCACAGTGGAACCAGGGAACGCAGGACCTGCTCACATCAGCATTGATGCTAAGAGAACTGCCTAAATTGCCTAAAGTGATGTAGGATGAGATTTAAACCCCATCCTGCTTCCATTTAAAGCAGTGTCAAAGCTCGGGTTCTCTGAATAGCGCTGGGATACCTGTGAAAGTCTGAATCACCTTGTCAGAATGCATCCAGAGATGTCTGTAAAAGTGAGAATGGTGGGTGTGAAACTACCCAACAAATCATAAAGTGGTTTACATACATCATCCTCTCATGAAACGCTAGAAAACTCTCGAAAATATCTGAATGGCCTTGCCATTGACATCTGATGGATCTTAAATATGTATGCCCATACATATTTAATGTATGGACATACTAAGATAGTAGGAAGCTTTATATGTGGAAAGGTGTTTTTCTGTTTCCCTTAAGACAAAAGTACACCAGCCAGATGGCAGAAGTATCTTTGTTACTTATACATGGTGCCACCTTTCCTAAGAGCTGGAAAGGAATAGAGGAAGACTGGCAGCACCATCTCCTGGCAGACATAGGAAACAGGGACCACTTTGTGTCAGAAAGTAGGGCCAAATTATGTCTTTGTGGATTTTAAACACTGTAACAGGAAGTAACTTCAGAAGAGTATATTCCCTCCCTAGGAAGATTAGCTTTAATATGCTTCAGGGAAGAAAAGCATTATGTCCTATTATAATTATGGAAAACACATACGCACAATTATGAAGAACAAATTCAGGCTGCTTCTCCCTTTAAAAAAACTCTCTTGTGTTGGCCTCTGCTTTCCTTTATACTGTAGTAACAGCAGGTTTCAAAACCAGCACAGCAGCTAAGTTAGTCCATTTGCAGTGTATTAGTGGAGTTCTGGAAGACCACAGAAGTTCCCTGTACTCAGAAAATAATGGAGTATGTAGATTTCAGGAATTGTAGCCAAGTTTCTGTCTTGCTGAGGAGGCAGGGGAAATAGCGGGAAAAGACTATTACTACTGTAACCAGGTGGATCATTAATGTGGAATGCTATTATACATATCTAGAAAGTGACAAACACTATTAATAAGGGCGAGGCCTTCCGAGTAATGAAAAGCTGTATGGGAAAGAAAACATCTCTGGAGATAAAAGAGAGGAGATTAAGTCAGATGACTTGGTGAAAGACAGCCATGAAGGAGAACAGAGGAGACAACAAAATTAAAATGGTGAGGATGAGAGGAATTTTAGAAACTTCTACAGCTTTTCCTTGAACAGTACAGAACTGGTATGCCATCAGAGGCCAGATCTCATTTATCAGAACAGTCTCAATCAGCAAGAAGACTTAAATGGAGGGGACCTAAGTACACCAGTCTTCTTGTCTGTTAACTCTTGCAGATCTGTTCTTGCTATTAAGGCCCATGTTCCATGATACTAAACATGAAGCACTCCCTATGTTACACAGATTATGGTTTGCTGTTGAGGTTTTTCCCATGTTTTGGAAGTTATCTTACTTTGAGAAACTCACAAAATGCTTTAAAGGAAATTTTTTGCAGATGATCATAGAAGTGGAAGACACAAATTCCTTCATTCCATCCTCCTCACAAAGGAAGAACACTCCCTATAAGCCACTGCACTTCCCTGGACTTCACCCAACTTAGGTTCAAAAGCCACAGGTAATAGGGGTTCCAATAATTCCCATGGGAAAATACTCAGGTTTATGCAGCCTACATAGGTGGGGGTGGGGTTCTGCTTATCTCTTTAGTTCATAACAAAGATCAGGCCTTTTTCCTCAGGGCATCATTTACTATTCAAACATTCACAACACAAAGGTAATCCTCCATCCTCCCCCAGGGCCTGACGCTATATCTATCTTTCTTTCTAAGCGAATTAAACTGTATAATTTAGGAATCACTCTGGTTAGTGGGCTAACCTCTTTTATCAAATACTTGTTCTTAAAGGAACTCTGCTTCTGACCAGGGTGAGCTGCCCAGTTAGCTGCCTGTGCGCTTCTCTAGCTTTTATTATCAACACACAGAAACACATTTTGATGACTGTATATATTCAATTCTTTTGTTTCTTACTTTTTTGTTCACTGTGCTGTACTTGTGTTATTCCTCACCAGAACACACTACACACTGCTTCCCATTCATTTCTAATTATAGCCTATGTATTTATTATATCATTGTTTAAGCCCTATTCACATTAATAAAATGGCTCAAATTCCTGAATGGGGGAAAGAAAGAACGCCTTAAGCATACTGAGTATCAACATGCTCACAAAGTGCTCTTGTACTGGACATTAAGATGATACGTTTGTATAAATCAAAAAGCTGCTGAGGGTTCTGAAACCCACCAACTGAACTGGCCATAAAAGCAGCACTGGGAGATAACACTAGGTGTTCCTGCTCTGACAGGGGGATTGGACTAGATCATCTTTTGAGGTCCCTTCCAATCTCTAGCATACTGTGATAAGGCCATAGCGGAAAACCTTCTTGTGTCTGTGTTTGTCTGCTGGAACACTTCATCATTGGCCTTCTCTCCAATGCGTTTCGAACAACTGAGACGTTGACTTGAAAAATGGGTCATGATTTAAGAGCATACGAAATAACTAGGCTCTCAACAGATTCTCTCTGTTCATCCAAGAAACTCGAGGATGCAATAACTGAAACTCTGTAGTGTAAATTCTTGTTTAAAATGTTCTTGGCACCTAAGGAGTGGATTGTATCAAATCTTGCATGATCTTTTTTTTTAGAAGATGATTCTAGGAGGAAGTGGAGAACTCCTGTCCATTAAAACTGACACCTGCTATGCACAGATTACTGCACACCGGGACAGAGGGTTTACTAGGGACAGGTCAACCTAGTTTTTCTCAACACTTTTTGCAAGAGAAGTCTTGCCTTTGTAACTTTCTTCTTACATACAATTCTACCACGGAATACCCTGCCACAGGATGCTATAGATGCTAGATGTTTATAAGCAGTAACAGATCAACTGGACAAACATCTGGAGAATATACATTGAGAGCCGATAAGGAAGAAGATGTGACCTCTGATTTTGGGAGTCAACAGATGCACATTGCTGGGAATTCAAAACAGTCCCACTGGGAACTTTACCAGTGGTTTGGCCTCTTGTAATCTTTGAAGACAAGAAACAGACATACAAACCTGCTTTAAGCATTACGTCTGTCCTTAAGATGAAACATTTAGTAAGGAATAATTTTAATCATGCTACAGCTATTTGCATACTTCAGGTTAACTAAAGCACAGTGAAGTAAAAAGGATTGGTGACGGTGAGAGTTTTTCTCCATTTTTGCCAAGTACATCACATGCAATCATCTTTGTTAGAGGTACCTATAGTCAAGAAGTCAAGCTAATTCTGGAAACATTAACAGGTACACTATTGTGCAGCTGTAACTGCAAAATGTTTTCAAGTATTTTTAGAGCAATAAGGCATGCTGTTTGGGAACAGCTGACTCACAGACCCATCATTATTTGTACCAAGCACCCCAAATCCTCTGTTTTGCTAAGAAAACTATGTAAAACCTACTGAAGTCATGTAGCAAAGTCACTTGCAAGAACTGAGAAGAAACTAGCTTCTGCAAGTTGCAAACACAACTCTATGAGACACTGCTGTGCATATGAGAGGCTGTGAGAGCGCTGCAGTCCCCCCATGGGCATGCCTCCATCTCCAGCTCAGCCCAAAGGTGGTCTCCAGAGCCCCCTCCATTTCCAGGTAGCAGATGGCAGGCCTGTTTCCCACATGCAAATCCGTACGGGCGCCGTCGTGAGAATGCCCCAAGGAAACGAGAGCCCTTGGAAGCGAAACGCGGCACCTCACGTCTCGCAGCGCAGCCGTAGCTGGGTAGAGTAGCCGTGCAGACCGCGAAGATAGGAGACCCATTACACCACCTCGGAGCCATCGAAACGAAACCCAACCCAGCCGAGCCGAGCCCCTCCTCACTGCCCGCCCCACTACTTAACATGGCGGCCCCGCCCGCCCCCACAATGCTCCGCGAGTAGCTGCCGCGCTTCCGGGTGCGGGCCCTGCCCGGCACGGCGTGAGGGGCCCGGGGGTGGGCGGAGGGCGAAATTTCTCCTACCGGATGTGAACGGAAGGAGCGGGCGGTGGAGGAGGGAGCCGCGGCCGGACCATGAGGCTCCGACTGTGGCTGGTCCCTGCCCTGGTGGTGCTCTGGGGGTCGGGCGGTGTAGAGGCGCTGGGGCGCCCTCCGCGCCGGCAGAGCTACGGTAAGGGGTAGGGAGGGGACACGGCAGCCGTGGAAGGGGTGTGAGGGAGAGACCACTGCTGCGGCGCGGGGGACAGGGGCACGCTTGCCTCTGCCTGGGGGTAGTGATGGGATATGTGTGGCGTGGGGAGAACACCGATCTCTGCCAGGGGGTGGCGGTCTGGGGAATGGGGAGAGGGGAACGGGCCAGGGCAGGAGCCGGGCACCCTGTGTCCCGACTGAACACCCACCCGGAGGCCTGCCCGTGGCGGTGGGCAAGGTCGTGGCCCGCGCCCTGCTCCTGTGCCTGCCTCCGGGAGGGTGGGTGCGCGCCTTGGGAGCGCCTAGGGCACAGGGATTCCTGGAGACTATATAGGCCCCATGCCCCCCCGGTGTGGTCCCCTTTACCTGAAGCACCACTGATGGGCAGTGTTAGGGAGTCACTGCTCTCTGCAGGAGTGGAGTGACCACTTGATTGTCTTCACACTCGAGGTGGGCTAAAGAGTTTTCCTCACAGGAGTGTGCGTTGTGTTAAGGCAGGGTAATGATATAAATGGCTTCCCTTCATAGTTCTGGTTGAAGAGTCACCGTTGCAGAGAGAGCCTGAAGCTATTGGAGCTGAATGTGTCTTCTAGAAAAGCTTAACACAGAGGAGAACCGTTGCTTTATTTAACTTCTGTAAACTTAGTTTTGCATCTAAACTTATACTTCGGAGTGAAGCAGTTGTAAACGTGTGTTTGATAAGCAACAGCTTATCACTGAAGTGGCATATGAGCTCTTGAGAGGCAGTGGTCCTGCCTTGCCCAGTCAGATATCCTGTCTCCAGCTGGTGTGGCCAGTGGTGACTGCTTCAACTCTGCTTTCTTTGCTTAGATCTCCCAGCAGTTTTCCTGACAGGCATCCAGGCTGTGTGTCTGTCCTCCTCTCCCACACCTGAGGTGGACTTGCAGGTCTGTGCAGACCTCAGAAGTGGGTAACAGCAGGAAGCTGGAACGGATAGGATTCAGTGGTGGATGCTTCAGGAAGTGTAACAGAAACAGAACAAACACTGTATGTCCTTTTAACAGGTCCTTAACAAGGCAGGTCAGGGAGCTCCTCAAACAGAGGACATCTTGGGCTCTGAGGTTTTTTTATGCCTTCTAAAGGATGTATCTGCTATGGATTTGCATAATCTTTATCTGATAGCTTTTGTGTTCTAGGCCTCTGTACTACCATGGCTGGACTATGAGCTCTTCAGTTTTATGAAATACTGCATGGGGGAATAATAGAATAGTTAGGGTTGGAAAGGACCTTAAGATCACCTTCTTCTGTTGCCAGAAATGGTCAGTATGAAAGGATTATCCATTTTCTTCATACTTTTAATGACTTACAGACTTGTATTATTTTTCTGCTTTGTAATTTTAATTTTTTTTTCAGTGGAAAAATCTTAGTCTCCATAATAATTCTTAGTATGGGGTAAAAAATTATAACTTTATTTGTCTTTGTTACCTTTCAAAGAATCACAGAATGGTTGAGGTTGGAAGGGACCACCAGAGGTCATGGGAGTTGTACCTCCCTGCTCAGGCAGGGTCACCTAGAGCACATTGCTCAGGATTGCATCCAGACACGTCTCTGTCTATATACTTTGTATATTTAATTTATTTATTTGTATTTTAATTTATTTATTTGAGATGTGTGACCAGGACTGTAAGGCATTATTTGTCATACAAAGGTAGCATGGATTTGCAGTGATGAATGCTTTTCATTCTGTTTTCTTCTGAGTAATTTTTTGGTCCTTTTTGTTTGTTTGTTTGTTTGTTTGCTTGTTTGTTTAATAGTCCTTCCAAGATATCTCTTCTTTCTCTTTTTAATATTTTATTTTTGAGTGGTAATACCTATGCTGAAATACTTTGCTGCTTAGATACAGTGAGGCTGTGTTTTCCTCATCTTATTTCACACACTGAAATTCATCAAACATTTTGTTCTGTTGTTCAGTAAACTAAATATATAAAAGCATTTTGTGAGGGAGCTTGAAAAAAAATCCAGGTCTTCTCCATTAACTGTTACATTTATCCACACACTTCATTCTCTCAGAATGCTACTATCGATGAGGCTCTACTTCCCTAGTATCTTATTTAGCCACAGGTCCAGTATTTCACACTTGGTCGTTGTTACCTTTTTGTCAGGTAATTGAGCATATTTGTTGGTTAGGTCCCATGATGATACCTGGAGTAGAAATTGGACCTGTATTTACCACCCTTCAGGCCTAACCTGCAGCAAGACTAATGGTGTTGCACTAGTGGCATACCACAATTAGTAGTTGACCAGGTTTTTTTTTTCAGTGCTTTGTAATTTTGGGTTAATACATTCATGTCCTATTGCCTTATTACTCATTTTCTTGGTTTGTTTTAAAGTGCCTTTTCTTGAGTCTTGGAGGAAGGTCTTTAGAGTCATGCTATCAAGACAAGCTTTTGGGGATATTTTTAGTCTCCTCTGAGGTCAGTGCTAAGGTCAATTACACTCTTTGGTATCGGCCCTTAACATCCATTTCTGGAGCTGTATTTGCAACTTTTTTACAAGCCCCTTTTATTATTTATCTGGGTGGTTTCTTTGGATATAATAAAAGCTATTTCAACTATGAGCTTTATGCCTTTTACAAGCTGGTCTTCAAAATTTCTTTGCTTACTTTACTGGGGTTTTATGTTCAGCTTTTGATGGAGTTCTGTTATCCTCATCTTACACATGACTTGGTTTACTGGAATACCATCTTTTCCTTCTAATAACTTCAGCTTTGCTATTTTGAGAGCTCTGTTTAACCACAGCTTGAATTTTGTGAACTGAAATCAGATTTCTGTTGAGCAGTATATTTAAGGAAGTTTCAAGAATTACCATTTTGTGATTTCTATTAAGAACTTTCTTGCCTGTTTCTCTAGAAGTTCAGCTTTTCAGGGAGGAAAAAAAAAGATTTTACAGTGAAAAAGCAGAATTTGGCAAAGAACAGCACAAGGAGATAAAAAGACGTGGGTCATTTCCCAGCATTTTTCAGCTGAAGTAATCTTTGGGTGTGGTGCTCCAGCAGTCTAAACTGATCTAAATTGGGACTGCCACAGTCCTGGCCTTAGCTTTCTGATCTCTTCCCCATTCCTATGAGCATATTCATGGAGTTAGGCCACCTGGAAGCTGATCATTGTTTGGTTGGGGTGGTTTTTTGTAAGGGGTAGGGTGCCTGGGTTCAGGTGTTCTCCGTTTATGGAGTCTGCTCTCTGGAGTAGCTCACAGCGTGACTGTCAAGTACCTGCCCCATGCTCTGGGGGTGGCAGTGGCTGTGCTCAGGGTGAAGGATGAAGGGAGGATGGTATCAACATCAGTGTGTTACCATTAGATGATCTGGAAGTGGTGTTCTTTTTAATAACACTGACAGCAGGGGTGAATTTCTGGAAGAAGTGTGACTCTACTGGTCAATACAACTGTTACTGTAGTTTTGCCTCTAAAAAATTAATATCACCTTGTTGAAATTTTTTCTCTCCATTGTTTATCTCTGAAGATAACCTTTCATAGCTATTAAATATTAATGCAGTTTCTCTTGGAGCTCAGACATACCTGAATGATAACAGGGCTGAATATGCTTGAAAAGAGTAACAGTACAAATCCCCACCCTCACTGTTCTTGAATGTATAGATGGCTATATCTAGAGAACTGCTTGAATCTGTTTTACAGCACAGAGGTGTTAGTAGCACACTGCCACTGAGCAGCATGTATCCAGGATTGCTCAGAGCAGAGTTTGTACGCAAAATGTCTTACTCTGCTGCTGTCTGTTTCAAATAAGATCTTTTTATCATAAGCTAGTCAGGGAACAAAAAAAAGTAAGAGCTGTTCCTGAGCAGATGATATTCCTTGAATCACTTCCCCCTCATCTTTTTCTACCTGCTATATTGCATCAATAGAATCTGATGTAACCTGGGCTTGGGTTGATTTTTCTCCACATGTCTGAAATACCACAGAGAACTCCAACTGTGAGCTGAAGAAATATCCTATATGTGAATAGATACAAACGTATGTGATACACATCAAAAGACTAGAAGTAACAAGTTCTGGAGTGAAAAAGCAAATGATAGTGGTGTTGATGAATGAACTGGTGGAGATGAGTGATACAGAGGGCAGCATAAAATCATTTGCAGTCTTGAGTCCTGCTTCACACTTGGTGTGACAAAACACAGGAAGTCCATAAGGCCAGGAGTCTAACCAACTGCTGAAGAGATAGGGGTTAGAAGTTTAGCTCAGTATGAAGACTGTGCAGTGAGATTAGTGACAAAATCCTTCTGTCCTTCTGGATTGAAGCATCTGTTGGTGACTAAGTCAAGACCTAGGTAAGGGTCAGATAACTAATTTCCCTGTTGCAGTCTGACTTTTTTCTTGTTGTTTCTTACCCCATTTTAATATCCTTTGAAGCAAGAAAGCTGTTTTGGATTGATCTGGTTTTGCAGTTTGACTCCACCAAGCTGAAGGTTGGGTGTACATCTCACGGTGCACCACAGGGAGGAGAATCCAAGAACACACAGCCTAACAGCAGTATGTCCCAGCACATGATACCTGCATGGGATGCTGTGGGGTTATTTCAAAATCCTGGCAGGAATGTGTAGATGCAGTGTTTCAATAGGTGTTATTACAGGCTCAGTGATAGTCTTCTGTATGCTTTGTCTCCATGTAAACAGCAAATGCTTCATGTAGACATGGGCTTACTGAATGCAGATTGTCATTGTGATTTTTGTGTTGTGGGTTGACAGTCTTTTCTGTGGAGGTACTTAAGGTTTTAAAGGATTTTTTTTCTGGTATTTATTTTCCTTTGTTCATGTGAATCAGTCAATTTTTCCACTTCCAACTAGAAAAAAGAGAAATTGTGATTAAAATGTAATTCCTGAGAGAAGGTACTTGTACTCAAAGTCAAAAAGTGAAGGGTGTCAGCACTAGATTAAATTCTAGTCATTAAGAATTGCCCTTAACAATTGCAGGAGTTTTGTAATGGGAACATAATCAAGAGCTCGG